ACAAACATTAGATGAGAAATGGTGGAGGGCAACTGGATAAGATGACTGACCCTCCCCTGCCTCCAGTTAAACACCTGCTCAGGGTGGTGCCCTGAGGCCTGGCCTGTGTGGTGACCGCTGCCTGGCCAACATGACAAATGGGCTCCCTTGCAGTGCCTCCTCTCCCACGTGAAGCAGTGGTGGATGTGAGCTCTCTTTGCATGGCCATGAAGTGGGATTAGCATGGCTGGTTCTTGCCTGCAACATTGGTGGCCAGGATTTGGTCAAAGCCATCAGCAGCCGAGATCAGCAAGCCAGACTCAGTGAGCTGGAGGCACTGTGCATGTGCAGCCACCACTGGGGAGAAGAGCGCGCCAGAGCCCAAACGCTGAGCCTTGCCAGCCTCGGAAACCAGGGATCTTGCAGGCATACTGGCCATGTAAAAGCCACCCAAATCCCCAGGCTGTTTGCAACTTGAGTGAACGTGCAGCTGTCCGCCCCAAGCCAAGCAGCAGCAGGGAGGCTTCGAGGTGACGCTTTGGTCTGCCCAGCACCCTTCTGGCACCCGCCGCCCTGGCAAAGGCAAAACAGAATCAGGTGAGGGCCACAAGGGGCTCCTTCGATGCCCCCGTGCTGTGGAAGCTCCAGAGCAGCTCTGGAAAACTGGGGGCATCCCAGGATTGCAACACTGCAGACTCAGGATAGAGCCTTTTTGGCGATCAGCAGGAAAATCTGAGCTTGCATGTCTTCTCTAAACAGCAGAGTGGCTGCCCCTTTCGAAGACTGAACGTCCTCCACAAAACAGCTGAGTTGGGCCTGCATGTCTTCGCTAAACAGCTGGTTTTGTTTCGCAGAACCCATTCAGGCTCCGAAAGGGGCGGCAGCTCTGCTGAGCTGAGCCTGCATGTTTTTACTAAACAGCATTTTCTTGCCGAGCCTCCAGCATTGCAATCCTGGGATACAAAGACAAAAAGAGAGGTTTGATTGGATCACCCTCAGCCTCTGCCTGCTGCTGGTGCCGTCCCAACATGTTTTGGAAGGGAGAAGGTGCAGCTGCTGTTGCCCGTGATGGGGTTTGCACGGCAGCAGCAAGAGACTGCAAGATTTATTTTTATCTCCTTTCCAAAACCTACTGGGATGGCACTGGCACTGGCACTGGCAGAGGCAGAGGATAACCCAATCAAACCTCTGTGTGTGTGTTTGTGTGTGTGTGAGTGAGAAAAAAGAGAGAGAGAGAGAGAGAGAGAGAGAGGATCCAACCTCAGAGAGTTACCGTATACCAGGGCTGGCTGCTGTGTGCGCTCTCTGTCTCTCTCTCACACACAAACACACACACAGAGGTTTCATCTCTCTCTCTCTCCCTCTCTCTTCCTTCCACTGCAAAGTTTTGCATGGAGGAGCAGATCGCTTCCCTCAGCAACCACTTCAGACAGCAAGCAGAAAAGCTTTGCTCTTTTTCTCCAGGACCTTTGAAATTGCCCGTCCTACCTTTTCTGCCTTAAAATTCTGGGCTCTGGCAGCAGGGTTGCTTTATCTTTTCCCCGGGAGTGTCTTGTCAGCATCCCCTTGATGGCCTTCACCTCCTCGCGCAGAGTTCCCAGGGAGGGAGAAGGGGCGAGAAAGGAATGGGGAACAAACAGAAAGGACACCTGGGCATGTGGGGATTTGTCAAGCTGGGTCAGATCACATCCTGGCATGTTTTGGAAGGGAGAAGGCACAGCCTTTGCTCAGGTTTTCATGGTGGTGGCGAGAGATGGTAGGACTTAATTTTATTTCCCTTCCAAAACATGCTGGCACGACACCAGCAGGCAGAGGCACGGGGTCACCCACTCCGTGTTCAGCAGCTGCTGCAAACACATTTTGCGAAAGAGCAGAGTCCTACTTTTCACTTTTGACACGCCTGCCACTTGCTTGCAGCATCTGACACGAGCGACTGCCCATGCTGCTGCTGGCCTCACGGGAGCTCTTCACCTCTCGGCCACCCTGCTGGGCTGCTCTTGCCTGGCATGGGATGAGTCAGCTGAGATCTATGACCTCCGGAGTGCACCTGCCCCACTGCCGGCCTGCTAGGGCCTTTTGCCAGTGGCCACTGGTGGAGCCATGCTGCTTCACCTGCTGCCGCCTTCGGGCTGCTGAGCGCCTTCCTTCAGGTCTACTCAGTGCTGCAGGCTCCAGGCCACGAGCTGAGTCTTGTGCTCTTCAGGCCCTGGCCCTGGTGGGCACTAGCTCTTGTGCTGGCTGTGCGAGGCAGCGCAGCTCCACTGGCAGCAGGGAGGTGCTCCGAAGGTCATAGATCTGGGACAACTCATCCTGTACCAGGCGCAAGCAGCCCAAAAAGCAGTGCTGCCAGGAGGGCAAACAGCCCCTGAGAGGCCAGAGCAGCACAGTCAGCTGTTCAGCGGCCAGCCAGCAAGCGGAGGCCAGGGTGCGCAGAGAACTTGGTTCATTGCAGCCTCAAGCAAGCAGGGGGTGGGATGAAGAGGATGGGGCCAGTGGGCTTGCTGCCTTCTGCATCTTAAAATAATTAAGACACCCCCCCGCCCCGAAAAAAAGCCCTAGCCGTTTTTTCAGGAGTCAAAAGAAAATAAGACCCAGTCTTATTTTCAGGGAAACGTGGTAGTAAAAATAAGTCAACCAAAAGAACAACATGCAGGCAAAAGCAAATAAAACACCCCCAAGAGCAAAACAAATTCAAGTTTAATTTGTGTGCATTATTTAATTGACTGTTAAATTGGCCACACCTACCCAGCCTGTCCAAGGCCCCAACAGTCTGAGGGACTGTGAATTGGCCCCCTGTTTAAAAAGTTTGAGGACCCCTGGCCTAGACCCTCTGGTGTGAGGCGTATACAGGGAGAAACAAACATCAAATTTTAAAATAAGCACAATACTTTTCCAGTGACCCACTTCTTTATTCTGTTGTCTGAACTCTTCTACATCACTGGACTTTGAAACCAGATGACTTACAGGAAATAGAACCATTTAGTGCCTCTTATCAATATCCCACTCTTAGATTCCTGTATCCTCCTTTAATGTGATTGGAACAGAGTAACCTGCATTTAAATAGACATACCGGCAGCAATATAATTTCATTTCATAATACAATGATGACAGACACAAAATAGGAATTCATCATAATCTATCAAACTGCTTTCCTATCCCAGAGTAAATTTAATAAAATCTATAAACATACAAGTAATTAGACACAAATAGAGAATGGAGGGGGAAAGCACTACTTTTTCAAGATTTATAAAGAACCCCAACATTAATACAGCAGTCATTCACATGTTTCCAGAAACAAGTGGTTTAGAATAGAAATTGTACCTTGGAAAATACTTCTTTAAATTGCAACTCACAATAATAAAACAAACTAATGTAAATAACATTTACAGATGTAAATAGCAAACTTGGGTATCTTAGAATGAAAATGAATAAGACAACAATTGAAATATAAAACAACAAGTTTTAAATGGTACATTCAAACACATTTCACAAAAGTGGGCAAAGCAGGGCCTGATTTAGAAAGGCCCTTAGAGGATTTAGGAAGTGGAATGGGATTCTTAACCATTCGCTTTTTGCCCTTTAAAGGTTAGGGCAAACAGTGGGGGATTAAGGTTCTCTTCCCTGAAACTCTCTAAATATAAAATACAGTAAAATAAAATGCCCAAATTTTGGTCCTATCTATTCTAAGGATGCATGTTTTACCAGTCCTACTATAACCTTTAATACTGTATAGCATGATGGGTGATGGCTGTAAAGAAAGGAAAAACAAGTCACCCAATTATTATTACAAAACTCAAGTTCAGGACTGGGTAACCTTGAACAAAGAACAGTTCTGCTTGAAGCTTAGGATACACTTGTATACACTTGAGAATTTTTCTTCCTACAGTGCAATATAGCATGTGAAAATATATTTTGAACCCAAACTTTAAATGATTCATAACACATATCATTTACTCTATGTTTTATTGCGAGTCTCTCTAAAATCTCTCTCTCTTAAAATTGCCATTTAGGGAAAATGTCAACTCTACTGAAGGTTTATGGCACTACTTCAAACAATTGGAGACATGCTAACATGTATATTTCACACAAGTCAAAAAAATCATATTTGAAAATTATTTCATCTCTGTTCTCAATGTATTTTCCCATGGTTAACTGATTTAGGATTTAACTAAATTATCTCACCACACAATAAGCCAAAAGCGCCCTAGCTGTTTACATAACAGAGCTACAGCTTAGTATTTTAAGCTAGTGTGTTGTATGAACCCTGCTTTTATTTAATCTGTTCCCTCGCTGAGCAGAAAGGTAGACTCAAAAACATAAATAGCTGCTTCCAAGTTTGTGATTCTACGAAACCTACACAAGTGAGTTAATTTTAATATTTGAATGACATCGTGGTTACAGGATAGCCTGGTGTCCAACTCTGCCTTATTCAACAGATAATTAACCCGGCCATTGCGAACACAGCATTTTCACACGTTGATGCAATCTAAAACCAATGGTTACGATACCAACGACCATACCGCAAAAAAAGCTGCAAAGCTCTCACAAAAGGACACTGGCTGGTTCACACAGCACGCTAAGCCGTGGTCTTGTCAAACTTCCTCTGTTGGGATTGTCATTAAGCCAAACTGAAATTTATATATCGCATTACATCTTAGATAAACCAGTGCGTGTTTCGATACAACGTTCATAAGCAGGACGGAAGGGAAATTCGGGTAACAAAATGAAGGGCTCTGGTGCACGCGGAACTCCCCCACACCCGCTCCATGGCGAGTAACACCTACGATTTCAGGGACTGAACTCTCGGAGGAGACATTACACGGGGGTGGGGGGGGTGGGGGGAGTGAAAGGGTGCGCGCGCGCGCTCCGGAAGCAGCCAAGAAGCCCCGCCCCTAGGCGCGTGCATGGAAGGAAGCGACGACGTCGGGGTAATCTAATCACTGCTCCTTTCCTTTCGTCTACGCCGCAGATTTAAGTGCCCGACCTAAATTGCCTACCGCCCTTCTACGTTTGTTTCTTACCTCCATCGCGCTTCCCCCTCCCCCTTCACTGATTCAAAAGTGTCAAAAAAAAAGCACAACTGCAACTTCCTCTTCCGGGTTATCGGGAAGACAATCCTTCAATATTCCTAGAGAGGCGTAGAAGGGACTTTTACACAGTATTGTTCCGCGTGCCGGCCGGACGAGTGGAAGCTGTTTGCTCGGGTTATCGTTTAGGCAGGAAGGAGGCATGGCTCCTGTTGCAAGCAGCGGTGCTTTCTGGGCCCCCAGACACCCTATTTGGTCCGAGAGGACTTGTTTCTGCCACCATTGTAAGAAGGGTGTGGTTTGCATAGAATAAGCTCGGCCGTGCTTGGCTAACCTTTGGCCTTTACACAGTACAGCAGCTAAACCGTAGTTAAATGTTCACCAAATGCCCCTTGCTAAATTACAAAACAACTCCCATTTCCTTTTCTTGCGAGGTGTGTGACCTGACTCGTGTCTCGGTTGGAGACAGTAGAGAAGGGAGCTGGGAGCTCTCCAAGCTGCATCCCAGCAGCTGCGCCGTCTCGCACTTTCGGCTCCTTTTAATAGCTCCTGGTTCTATTTAGGTTCTATTTAGAGATAGCCCTAGAGAGACGGTCCATCATCCTAGTAACAACCACCTATCCTTCATTGCCTAGTAATACAAATATCCCCTTTTGTGAAAATGAAAATTTTAAGCTATTTAGAATGACCTCTAGTCCTACTGTAACACTTGCTAAGATATTGAATAGCTTTGCAGATGAAAAAACTGGACATTATTCTGAAGAGATGCATGAGAAATAATATCTGACATATCTTCTTCCTAGTGTATTCTGGCAGGTGCAGGGTCTGCTTTTCGGATAATTAAATGCCACTTTGCACGATCAGCTGCATCTCCAGGGTGCAGGCCCATGGCTTGCATATCTTTGTTGATGGTGTCTTGCCATCTCTGTTTTGGACACCTGCAAGGTTGCTGGCCATTGACTTATAGTTGGTTGGCGGTCTTGGCCACAATGGAAGGTGCTGTTCTCTGGACATGTCAGTACCAGCGGAGTCAGCCTTCTCTCATCCTCTCTATAATTGGTGCCACACCAAAATATTGTTGAATGGTGTAATTTGTGATGTGGTCAAGAAGGGAGATGCCCAATATCCAATGGAACATTCACATTTCCATGGCATGGAGATAGCTTTTGGTCCCTGTTGTTGCTGCCCAGCATTCAGTGCCATGCAGTGCAACATGGCAGATGGCTACATCTTGTAAATCTTAGATTTAAGATGGATTGGCATTCATTTGTCACATAACACACCGGTGAGCTTTCGCCAACGCATCCAGGCTGCATTCACCCTTGAACTGACATATCTTAAGTGAAATTGACAAGATAAATCAGAAAAGCAAAAAAATGGTCAAGGTATTTCTTAATGCTGAAAAAGCCATTGACAATTTGGAAAAGTCATTTATGTTTGCAGTTCTGAAGAAAATGGATTATGACCCAAATTTTTTTCATACTGATACAGAATACTTGGGAGGAACAAAAAGGCAAAATTACAGTGAAGAGTCTTATTTTGCAGCTGTGTACAATACTGAAGATAAAGGTATCTTTAATAAAAGGTCAAAGATTAAATGTAAGAATATATAGGATCCAAGAGAATGACGTGGCCTTGTGGATCTAAATTTCATACTAGTATTATGGAACATATTAAATGTGGATTTCAAAATTGATGATATTTCCATGGAAGAGTCATGTCTTCCAGAAAGATTGCATAGATACACTGGGTGTCACACAGAGAAATAAACCATCTACATTTAATTGGTTCCAGTACCAAGTAATTGTACACCAAAAGAATTACAAAAACAAGTGGTAATACTGAGATTTTTGAATGAATTTGAAAATCTTATAACAATAATACTAAAAATTTGTTAAGCGTAATTTATAAATTGCTCAACAAACACAATGGGTTTTTAACACATTAGTCATTAATTGATATAGTACAAGTTATTTGTCTCACATGTAACCTGTATTTGTATAACAGACCTGTGATCCCTTCCCTTTCCCTCCAAACCTTTGTCCTAAATCCTACATCAGCAGTGTTCACCCTTACCAACAACCATAGAGGCTCTGCAACATTCGTCCTGCACATTGCTGGCCAAAATGGAACTTAGGAGGGGCAGATTCGGCCCTTTGATGCTCCAGCCCTCTCTGGGCCTCCCACAGCCCATTGCAGGCCGAAATGGAGCCTCTGGGGGCCAGATCCTGCAATGGGCCAGGAGAGGCCTACGGAGGGCCGAATGAGTGTTGGAGGGCCGGATTTGCCTCTCAGAAACTCCATTTCAATTGGCAACCTGCTGGGTGAGAACTGTGGAGGACCAAATGGAACCAGAGGGGCACACACGACAGAAGACGCTGCTTGATCTTCACAAGGTGAGGGACCTGGCATAGCACGTTGTGGGGGAAGCAATTGTGGGGAGCATGAGGTATTTCAGTGGGTCGGAGAGGCTTTGGGTGGTCTTAGGCAGGTAGCCTGTTCTGTCAGTAGGCCCCCATGGCCTTCCCTATGCTACAATACCTCATGCACTTAACGAGCGTCGCATTCAATTAGTGAATTCGTGGGTGAAAGGGAGAGATATGAGATTTGCTCCCATGAATTATAAATGGAATGGGCAGTCTCCATTACATTTGTAACTTGAGAACCACCTGTATTCCTCTCTAATAAAAAGATTTGAAATTCTAAGAATATAGATTGAATCCCATTTCTAAGATCAACCTTTTATCATTTTTTCCCACTAAAAACTAATGAAGGAAATGTAATAACTGCAGCAGAATTAGCATCTGTAAGTAATATTTCTGGTCATTTATAGTAACCCATTGAAGTAACTGTACATAGCAATCACTAGGAACCAAATGGCCAGACAATATAAATGTAACCTTTCTCAAACAGGCCATTTTATTAATGTAAGGATGGTACACTTACAATTCCATTTCATAATCCATTTGTATGCTACATGTGACTTAACTACAATCTTAACCTGTGAATCCATTTCACCTCACCAACACAAAATCATGCAACTTGTATTTAATTCCTACAATACTTTAATTGTGATCGATTGCAGAAAAGCTTTTGATTATGTAGAATCCAATAAGCTGGGCTAAAATGGCCCATGTTTTGGCTTCCTGGGATGTCTGCATAAGCTGCATGTTCTTGGTTTCCCAATCCTGATCAGATCACTAATCAGGAGACAACAATAAGAAGTCTTTATGGTAACACATTGGTTCAGGATCACTAAGGAAGCTAGACAAGGATGTATCATCACCATTTTTGTTCAATCTGTATGTACATTAATCCACCCTGTGTGAGAAAACGTGCAGAGGGAACAGAATGGCTTGCTAAACTCTTGAGTGCCACGAGTGTTGAGTTGGGTGGATGAGGAACGAGCGGACCCAGGGTAGCAAGGAACTCTTTATTTATAACTGGAATAAAAAAACAATAAACATGGCCAGTGCCGGCTTTTTATAGCCGGCACTGTCCAACACTTCAGCCACTGACGGGGCTCCAATATTTGCGCCAGTGGTTGAGACCAATAAATGGAGTCTGACATCAGACTCCACTTTGCATATGATGTGATCCATGTAAATGTAGCGTCATGCATATTTAACACCCCTTCCCTCTTAGTTCAGTCCGACCAATCACCGCATACGCGGCAGATGTAGTCCTGCGGGTAGGAAGGGCTTCTGTGGGTGTGACTGGGCCTGCGCCGTTCAGTTGTTCCTGAGGCGGTGGACTGAATGGACAGGTTTGCTGCTGCTCCAGACTCCACCTTTGGAAACACCTCGATCGTTTCCGGAGGCTTGGCAGTTTCTGTTGAGCTAGAGGCCTCAGTAGTACTACGCTGGACTCCTCCTACAGCTAAGTCCTCCTCTGCCCTGTTTGGGGTTGTTCTTGCTAATATGTGTTTCCATGCGGTTTCTAGTTCCCAGGGTTTTGTTGTTGGATGTGTGTTGCGTTGTTCAGCTTCGTGTGGGGGTTGAACTATGCGGCCCCGTAGTTGGTCTATGTGCCTGTTCCATGTTTTTCCCCCTTCTACCTCCAGTCTGTATGACCTGGGTCCGGTACTTTCGACTGTTTTTGGTGGGATCCAGGCTTCCCCTCCCGTGTAGTTGCGTGCTTACACTGTGTCTCCTGGTGTGAATGTTCTGTACTTCCCTGTGGAGTCTAGAGGGGTGTCGTTTGTATAGTTTGGATGGATTCTGTCCAGGGTGGACCTTAATTTTCTGTTCATCAGCATTTCTGCTGGGCTTCTGTTTGTTGCTGCACTTGGCGTTATGTGTTGGGTTAGCAACAATTTGTCGATTTTTTCCTGCCAATTGCCAGGGCCTAATTTTGTGAGAAGTTCTTTGGTCATTTGGACCATTCTCTCCACTTGCTCGTTCGCCACCGGATGAGCCGGTGCCGATAGGGCATGTTGGATCCCCAGATGGGCGAGGAAGCTTTCAAATTGTTGTGTTGTGTATTGTGGGCCATTGTCCAAAACCAGCACATCGGGTAGCCCGTGGGTGGCGAATATTTTCCACAGGGCTCTGATCGTTGCCTCGGTTGTTGGATTTCATGATGACCACCTCCAACCATTTAGAATAGGCGTCGACCATGATTAGGAACGTTTGTCCCTGGCAGGGTCCTGCAAAATCTATGTGCATGCGACCCCATGGTGCTGAGGGCTTTTCCCACTTGAGGGTGGTGCTGCGGGAGGGGCCGGTCGGGATTCCTGACATGATGAGCATGTGGCAACCCAGGTTTCAATGTCTTTGTCTATTCCCGGCCACCAGATGTAACTCCTCGCTAAAGCCTTCATTTTTACTATCCCGGGGAGCCCTTCATGTAGTAATCCCAAAATTCTTTCCCTTAATGATTTCGATACCACCACTCTTTCTCCCCAACACAAACACCCCCTTAATGCTGACAGCTCCAGTTGTCTCTCTTTGAATGGTTTGAATTCCTCCCCTTCTTGTTCGGCTACCCCCGCCATACCCAGTTCAAAACTCGCGCC